GACTTTCTTATAATAGGTACTGCTATCCTTAAGAGTAGGTTGTTCACTTCCTTGATCTCTATCATTTTACCAACATCTTATTTCCTTCAAATGTTATTCTACATTCTCTCCTATTCTATTTCCCTTGCATTATCAACGTGTGAAAAGAACTGGCATGATATATGATGCTCTTTTTTTGTTGCCAAGGAAGTTCTTTATTTTTCAATTGTTTAAAATTATCCATCATTACAAAGTACAAACAGGGGCCCTTAGGTTACAAATCCACATCCGTAGTTTCACTACAAAGTAAAGACATGCCCTCATGTAACTTTCTGTACATAGTTTATTCTTCATGTAATAACTCGAGCCCTATCTAATGTTTCCAATTCCATTGTCCTCTGAAGCTCCCATGTAGTAAGTTTTTAGAGCCTTAGGGGTATTTGCTTTTGCCTCATAAGGCATAAGCCTCATACTCCCTTATAAAATGCATATAGGTGTTGCTGGATTGGCCAATTACTCATTTTGTAATGAATATACATTTGGAATGGTAAAATAGTTCTTATATAATATCCACCAGAAAAGAAAAAGATTAAAGTTTATCCTAACAAATATTATTACTCCGTATGAAGGAAGACAGGAAATCTAGTCAAGGAGAAAACAAAATGTACATTCAGCCGAAAAGAAGATTCACGGGATAAATTAGGAAGCAGCTCGGATCAGTTACTAATTCCCTGACAAACATTTCACTAGAAATTTATAATATATTCCACAAAGGCTACTTGAATTGCTTACACATTCTTTCTAGCTAATAAAAGTTGTTTAAAACGCTCACCAAAGAAAAATGAAACAAAGTATGAACTTGGCATATTAAAACGCTGCTTGCTTGATGACCTTCAGCTTACACTATTTGGGCTTATCTATTCTCTAGCCTTCTTCACCCAAGTGATTTACAAACACATTGCATAACGTTGTTTCAAAAGGGCATCATTAGAATTTGATTTAATGTAATATAATCAACATATTATTTCATTTTTTACAGGCAGACTAGCATTCTAGCAAAGCCTGTTTGGTAAGACTAAAATTGGGCAATTCAGCTGAAACTGCTGAAGTTATGCCTGAATCTGCTCAATTATGAAAAAATATACAGGAGTAATAAAATATATACTTTATTAATTAAGCAATTCAATGTAACTGATAAAAGCTAAAATGATCCTCTTCCCCAAAGCGTTGGATCTAATAGAGGGGGATATAATAGGATCTGTCTAAAGAGTACCACCAACCTTACATCTTTCTATCATTAATCACTTTAGGGGGGAAATCCAAAAATTAGTGATTCGAAAATAATCTGACATATAAGGCTAAGCCAAAGAACAAGGATTCAAAATGGGCACTAAATATCCACAAATATCACCATTAAGAGGCATTGAAAGTTCAGTAAATTAGATAATATATTGTAACTTAAGAGCTTAATTACCCTTACAAGGAACCAGCACACTATCTTCTCTTAAAATTGACATACTACATACTTTTTATTTGTTTAGCTAGGTCCTCCGTGACGCAGCTATGATCTTGAAGCAGTAGAAGAGATTCTACGTAATTCGCAACATAAAGTGAGCGGCAAGTCCCAAAAAATCCAAGCTTATTAACTACTCGGGTGTTTGGGCAGTATGAAACGAGCTCACTTTTGTTAGTCGAGAAAAAAATGTCACCATTTTTCCTAAAGCCAACCATTCTTTCCATCCCTTCGACCAATTCAATATAGTGTAGCCTACTCCAAGATTCCACAACCCCATACTCTTTCATTACCCACAGTTCACAAGAACTTCGGTGGACCTCTCTTTTATACTTAACAACAGAGATAGACTCATCCAATGCCAAAATATATAAATTTGCTGCAGGTTCCTGAGACAATTCATCTGGGAGCATAATCTCACCAAACAACTCATCAGCCATTGAGAAAACTGCAACAGAGCACGGAAACCTCTCATTCTCCAGTGATTTGCACCCAATCCAATGAATGGCCCCGCAGACGAACGTTTGAGACCAAATGAAATCGGTCATATAAAAGTTCACGCCTACTGCTGATATCCTCCTCCACTCCCCTGTCCTTAGAGAATAAATCTCAGCCTCCGGCGGGAGGGCACACAGATCCATATACTCACCATTCCTTTCATACGCAATTCTCAGGACTTTTAGATCATCAACACACTTCGGGTTCACACCAAATCCCAATACAGTCTTAAACGGGCGCCCTAGTTTGATGGTAGGAGGTGGCAAGATCAAATGCTTCCGAATACTAGGGTTCCACAGCGTCACAGCGTGTGAATCGCTATACAAATCATCATATAAGCAAACGACGCCGTTGTAACAGCCAACTACACGAGAGTACCCAACCCGACATGCGACCTGGGGGCTGAGTTCGGCAGAACAGGTCAGGGAAAGTGAATGGCTATTGAGGATTTCGTATTTTTCCTTTTTCGATTCAGTTTCAAAACGCCTGAGCAGGAGGAGGCTGTTTGCAGAATTACCTTCCAGAGAATGGCGGAGGTGCGCGGAAGCGAAGGAGAATCTCGTGATGAAGAAGAACCAAGACTTGGAAACTGCAGTGAAGCGTACTACGGATTTAACCGGGAGCCTCGTGAGGATCTCGATCAGGATTTCTTCAGGAAAATGGCGGTCAACCGCCATTGTTGAACTTCGAACAATAGAGAATTGGAGACCCATAAAACCTGTAATATTACGGAAGGCTTTCAGTTCTTCACTTCGATTTACGAACTGGTAGAACTTATCCGTTTCGTCTGATACTCCGTAATTTTGCATTTAACTGTGGCAACACAAGGTAAAACAAAAAGAGAGAGAATCGGATTTACAAAAAATATTCCGGCCTGCTGGTCTCGATCCAGCGACCTATGGGATTGTTCACAATTAACCGTCCAATCGTCGATTACATCCGACGCCAGACTCAATCCATCGCTCTGCCAACTGAGCTAAGGCCGGATCTTGTTTACTTCGTTACTCGTTAATAAGTATAGAGTACGAAATGCTTTTATTTGTAGGATATAATACGGAATACGCATTTTCGCTTAATTTTGTGGATACAAAATTCTAGAACAGTTTATATGGAGTATACTATGTAAATCGTGATACGTATTATATTTTTGAAATTTCTTATAATCTTAATATATCCAACTTGATATTGAATTTTGTGCAATCAGAAATTTCTTCACAATAAAATATCAATGTCAAGTATTGAGCACTGAGAGCCTGTTTGGCAACACTTTTTTCGACTTATAGACTTATTAGTCAACTTTTTCATCAAACACGTAACTTTTATTTCCGCGCGTTGAATTGTGTAATGAGCATAAAAAGTAAGGTTGGAGTTATTTTTCTGGCTGTATTGGCTGAAGTTATTGTACATGACCATTTTAGCTATTTTTACATATACTTTCCTCTTTGTTTTATTAATAAAATATATTTTAAATTTTTTTTCATAAATAAGCAGAATCGGCCAAAATAGTCACTTCAGCCAAAACTTCATAAATTTCAGCACAATCAACCAAAACACTCAATTTTCGTGCTACCAAACAGGCTCTGAATATATCGATAATGAAATCATATTGGGCTGGAAGTAATGTCTAGCAGGGTAGAGTAGGGGAGGCTGGATGAGATCTGTAAAATTTAATTTTGATGTATATACATACATATAAATATTTTTATACACTAAAAATTATAGTGAAATTTTAAGGTTGGATTCCACAATAAAAATCATTTAAGTTCCGACCCCCCACCCCCTATTATATTCTACCCGTAGTATCATTTTTGGCTCGGTCACTAACGTCTAGGATACAGACATGTACAATTGGTAAGGGATGATCTTTTCTTATAACACAAGTCTTGTGATGGTTGTTCCTTAGAATAAGTGACAAACTTAGGTGAACTTATATTTAAAAAATAGTGTGACAAATTTAAGAGAACTTAGATTTAAATCGAACCAAAAGTCAATAAATTTAAAAGCAACTTGTGACAAACTTACGTAACTGTGAACTTAAATATACGAAAATTTATTTATTTATTTTAAATAAATAAAATAAAAATTATATGAACATAACGATTACAACACTACAAAAAAACACGGAGTTAGTCACGGATTTAGTCACGGACCATAGTATAAAAAAACTGTGACTAACTATGCTAGTCACGGACTTTTTCCGTGACTAAATCCGTGACTGTTTGGGCGTGACTAATTCTAGACACAACCGTTTTTCCGTGACTACGCGTGGTCACGGATTAGTCACGGACCCTATCCGTGACTAATTTGTGACTGGAATAACCACACCGGTGACTTAGTCACGGCCTCTATCCGTGACTACATTTAGTCACGGACCAATCCGTGACTACTTTTTCAAATTTCAAATGTGACCGCCAGTTTAAATTTTCAAAATTTTAAATTTAGTCACGGACGAGATCTGTGACTACTTTTTGTGCTGTAAAAAAAACATTTTTAAATTTTTAAAATAATTTTAAAAAAACCGGTCTAGAATTTAGTCACGGCTTAGATCTGTGACTAAATTTTTTCATTTTAAAAAAAAATTGTTTTAAAAAAAAAATAAATTTCTTTTTCAAATTTTCTTTAGAAAAGTTTATTTTTAAAAAATAATTGTAGAATAAAAGTAATAAACAGACTACTAGAACACACATTTTATCCATAAACAGACTGAAATAAAAGTAATAATAAACACAATACAAATATAGTAAATAAACAATGTTCAATTAAAAATGTATATCATTTACAAGCTCCTCCGACTACCATTATGATAATATCTAGAATCATCGTATAGATAATCTTCTTCAGTCTCATCTTCTCGGTTGCTTCCACCTTGGCCTTCTCGGTTGCCACCGCGACTGCCCCCCTCCGCGACTGCCACCTCCGCGACTGCCACCTGCTTGGCTGCCTCCAGATGTTTGAAACAGGTTATGAAAATTGATATCCTGAAAAGAACCATATGAAGGCAACCCGGAAGCAGAGTTGGAACGGAAATAACCGCCCATCTGCGGAACTTGAGGAGTCTGCTCGGGGTGCAGTATATACGGCTGAGGCTGAGGCTGATTCCGAATTCCGGCGCTGAGGATCCGCTCCATCGCTTCCTATCGGACTCTTGTTTCTTCGTCCTTTTTGCGTTGCTCCTCCAACTCCCGCTGCAATTGAGCGATACGTGGATCCTCTCCGCGCCTTGATCAAGAAGATGAAGCGCCGTTGCGGTCGTACAAAATCCGTTGCCCCTCGGCCCCCATGCACGGAACCCGGCCTTTGTACACCCCAGCTGCCTCAATGATGGCTTCATCTTCCACATCAGAATCAATCTCATCCTCCTGAGTCAAGCCTAATTCCGCCCGCTTCTTCTCAACATTTGTGTTATACTTCGTCTACATGTACAAAAATTGTTAATTTAATGTTACTCAATTCGATTTTGAATGGTACCAAGTAACAAAATAGATGTTACTTACTTCGATTTCAGCGAAGCGGGGTGGCAGATCGGCTTCTGACTCATCGTCGTGCTTTGTCCAACAGTGCTTAATGACCTTGAGAATTGAGACCTTCTTCTTCTCAGGCCCCGCCTACATAGTTCCAAAAAAGGCTTAAGATCCATAAGTAAATGTAAAAATGAAGGGTTGTTCTGTGAGTATCCCTGTAACTACGTGTGCATGCTAACTATTTTAATTCCGTGTGGTGATTATCGTAAGTCCCGTTGTTCAGTTTGCTTGAGGACAAGAAAACGCTTAAGTGTGGGGGAATCTGATAAGTCCATATTTAGACACGCATTTGATGCATGTTCGGGTCGGATTTTGATGTTTTTCCTATCTTTAAGGCGTTGCAAGTCTCAATTTTGGCTCAAGTTGTGTTTACCAGGCGCTGGGTCGAGTTTATTGCATTTGGAGTCAAATTGGTGAAGTTAGAGACTGGCTCGGGGCTTAAAGAGGCAATCGGGATGAGTTGAGAAGCATTCGAGAGTGAATTTAGAGCTTTGGAGGCCACCGGGAGGTTCACAATGAAGATTTGATTACAAAAGAGCTCTAGAATTGGCTACGGGATCAAAAGAAGACGAATAGAGCTTGAAAACAACGATCAGGGTGAGCTTCTGTCAATCGTTCAAGCATATCTCTTTGTAGAAATATCCAATGAACACGATTCAGGTTGAATATGAAAGCCAACTTCAAGGGCTACAAATCATATGAAGACACCTTTGCGAGAATCAGAGAGTAAGAAGGTGAAAACAGACGATGAAGTCAGATGATCTCTGTTGCGATTTTAGAATGACACCTTCCACCGTTTTGATCATATCTCTTGATTGGATGATTCAAATCTATTTCCTCAAGTTGGGGTGGATATAGGACTTCATTATCTACAACTTTCATGAAGAAAGCATTACTAAATTCGGAAGTTAAGTAGGCACGACCGTGCCCTCAAAGTCAGGCACGATCGTGCGTGAAGAGAAAGCAACGCCGAGTTTCTGCCAGCTAGGCACGATCGTGCCTGCAGGGAGGCACGATCGTGCCTGCATGAAATGCGGGTTTTTGCTCCGGAGGCACGATCGTGCCTGGCATCGTGTCTGCCTCCGGAAATCCCAATTGAAGTCAAATTTCACCCGATTTTTCTATTTAAACAGCCTGTAAACCCCCGTTTTGAGGGGGGGAGCTTAGAGAAAGTTCCTAGCACGAATTTTAGAGTGCTTTTCAGCCTTGTTCATCAATCTTTTGGGATTCTTTGTAAGTTCCACCTTTTTAATTAATGATAATTAATTCTTTTTATTCCAATTCTATTGATTCTTCAATTATGAATTGTGAGTAGTTTTAATTAGGGATTTGGGATTAATTGTCACGCCCCGGACCTAACCGGACACGTCAACAATCCGCCGTACAGTACGAATAGTCAACCGCAGTCCAACACATCCATACTATACAAGGCGTCTGGAATATCATTCACACATAGTACATCCATAAACAACATAATGTAAAATAATCATTTAAAGCAGCGGAAATGTTCAATACAAATGTGCACGCCACACTTTGGCATCATGGGCATACAAGCCCTAAATACATATTAAGGAAAATTAATATCCATGAGCATGGTTTAAGTCGTTTTCAAAACAGAAACAGAAGAAGCACGAACCACGTCTTCTTCTCTTAAATTCTCCGATGCAACGGGCGGTAGCGGCAAGCTTTAATCCCGACCTGAAACTGTGAGGTGGCCTCCCCCGTGAAGGGGAGGTCAGTACTTGGAAGCATTTGACAAGTACAATGACAACTATACTAAGTATAATCAAAGTTTCAATTTCCAAGACCCTCAACTTAGGATGTTACTATTTGAAATTAATTTATGTTCCTTCATGCTAGAGCTCGGCTCATAGTCATATTAATTTGTGCTAGAGCTCGGCTCATAGTCACACCACATTTCGCTAGAGCTCGGCTCATAGTCATTCCTACATTTTTGTGCTAGAGCTCGGCTCATAGTCACACTACATTTTGCTAGAGCTCGGCTCATAGTCATTCCTACATTTTTGCTAGAGCTCGGCTCATAGTCATACTACCACGTGCTAGAGCTCGGCTCGTAGTCACGTCATCTAATCCCTAAACCACTTCTTAGTCTAGGCTCCATTCCTTTTGAGTAACCCTTGAGGTCTACTCCTAACATAACTTGACTTTGTAAAGTCCACCCTAATTATCCTTTAAGGTTACTTAGCTTCAATATCTTGGGATTAGCTCCCAAGCACTATTGAACTAACATTCCCGACTAGTCTTCAATACTAGTCGTCTAATCTTAATAAGCCAACGCCAATTTCATAATAATTCATACATTTCAATTTAATTTCACATTCAAGTATAACTTGATTCAATATCAAAATATCACTTTTTATTTCCTTTCATGAGGTAAAAGCATATTTATCACCATACAATTTTATGACTTACACCACAATTGGGTCATTATAATCACAACACATAATCATACACAATTTATTCTTAAATTTGTATATTATGCATTTTCTTTTATGAACAATACTATATTCCATTTTAGGCATTCTTAATCATAAATAACTCATGCCAAACACATATAATTCATTTAGGCAATCTTATGAAATTAACCCAATAATTATAAACAATATAGTCGGTCATCCTCACCTTAAGTGAGCTTAAGCGCGTTCTACACTTCCCGGTTGAACTTTGGCGAACTTTGACCAACTCCGGCCAACTTTGACCAACTCCGGCGAAACTCCGGCGAAGCTCAAAGATACTCTAAATCAAGCTCCTAACAAGGTTTTAACATCATAAAACCTTAATCAATACACATAACCTCTAAGAGGTTATTTTCCGGTGAACTTGTCGGTTTGGCTTCTAAATCCATTTTTGGACATAGAACCACCTTCCAACCCCTTGTTCCACATTTATCAACATGTAGAACAAATCCTAGGGTTCTTCATAATTTCTCAAATAATAATATATTCAAGAAAAATAGGAGAAAAGGTAAATGGAGTCATTACCTAGCTTTTCCTCAAGTTGTGTACACTTTGGAACTTAAACTTATCCCTAGAGCTTCCCTCTTGTTGGAGTTTTCTTCAACAATGGAGAATAGGGATGGAAAATTCTTCTTTGCTTCTTGCTTGAGTTCTGGCCGCAGGGATGAGGGAGGAGGGAGTGGTTATTTTCTTTTGTCTCAATAGAATGGGGGTGTGGGGAGAGGTCCACCCCATTTCTTTTGTTTGATTCCTTTCCCTTCACATCACACACATCTCCCATGTTCCCACATCATCTCAACCATCACATTTGGGTGACCAAATTCGTGGGTTGGCCCCCACACATGTGGGAGGTCAACCCTATTTGTCCAGAAGTGTACAATCGGTCCCGAAAGTTGTATTTTCCGGACTGTTTTAAATATATTTTATTTTATCGGGTCAAATAAAACATATTATGTGTTCTCAATCGTTACGACCCTCATAGTGAATATACATTCCCCAACTTTAATTTATAGGTCTCCAAAAATCCAATTTCGGGCTATTATCCGTTAAATTACCGATACCGGTAATTGAACCGTTTTTGACCAATCGGTCTGCATTATGTCATTACTTTGGACCAAATAAATTATCCCCTTCTAAATAATTTTTATTTCGACCAAGTTGAATAAAATATTCGGTCTCGGGAGAATCGGGCGGCCCCGCCCCCAGTGTGGGTCCCACGTTCGAATTTACTATTCACGCAAAAGAACTAATAAAAATTCACAACTTCGTATACTCGTTAACCATTATACAAGGTTCAATATATTATTCACTTAAAAGTAAATACATTTGGGGACGGTGTTACAAGTTCACCCCCCCTTATTTGGGATTTCGTCCCCGAAATCTACGTGTCTAATCGAAAAGAAACGGGTATTGCTCCCTCATTGAGACCTCAGTCTCCCAGGTTTCTTCTTCGACTCGATCACTCCTCCAAAGAACCTTTACCATAGGAATCTCTTTGTTCCTCAGTTTCTTCACCTGTTGACCCACAATCTTTACCGGTTCCACCGCATATTGTAGATCTTCACGTATCTCCACCGGTGGCTTCTCAAGAACATGAGACGGATCTCTCACGTATTTCTTGAGCATCGATACATGAAACACGTCGTGTATCTTCTCAAGTTCTGGCGTCAACTTGAGACGGTATGCTACGGCCCCTATCCTTTCAAGGATTTCAAATGGACCAATGTATCGGGGGTTAAGCTTTCCCCTCGATATAAATCGGATGATACCCTTCCAAGGAGAAATCCTTAGGAAGACCTTATCACCGACCTCGAACTCCAATGGCCTGCGTCGTTTGTCGGCATAACTCTTCTGCCGATCTTGGGCAGCCCTGAGTCTATCCTGAATGACCTTCACCTTAGCCTTGGTGATTTCAACAAGTTCAATCCCTTCGAGCTTGGCCTCGCCAACCTCGTCCCAACACAACGGTGTTCTGCATTTCCTCCCATACAATGCCTCGTATGGAGGCATGCCAATACTTGCCTGATAACTGTTGTTATAGGCAAACTCGACTAGAGCCAAATGTTTGTCCCAACTCCCTTGGAACTCCAGAGCACATGCCCTAAGCATGTCCTCCAATATCTGTATCACCCTCTCAGATTGTCCATCCGTCTGTGGATGAAAAGCTGTGCTAAACTTCAGTTTAGTACCCAAAGATGCTTGAAACTTGGGCCAAAACCGAGATGTGAATCGTGGATCCCTATCCGAGACAATGGATATCGGGACTCCATGTAATCTCACAATCTCTTCCGTGTATAACTTTGCCAATCTTTCAAGAGGATAAGTAATGTTGATAGGCAAAAAGTGTGTACTCTTAGTGAGCCTATCAACCACTACCCATACTGCATCGTAGTTGTTCACTGTTCGTGGTAGCCCCACCACGAAGTCCATGGTAACATGCTCCCACTTCCATTCTGGAATGGTCAGTGGCTGATCTGCCAGAAATCTGGTTACCCCGGAATCAATTCATGTTCCCTTCGTCATTAATTAGAGAGAACCCATTTATTTAATTGTTCATTCGCATTAGTTTAAGTTCAATTTTCCAACCAATCATATCTCGCATGACGC